AGTAAAGCATGGAAAGTTGGTAACACATTCAAGTAATACTGCAATAATTCATTACAACTGTTCTATCAGACATGACTATTAGTAATGACTATTACCTGAAAAACAATCTTCTGGATCCGGATTTGAATCAAGTAAATAGTTGGAAGTTCTTGTGCACAGACACTTTTATTTCATATTAATCAGTTACGTTGATATTTCTCAAAAATATTTGATTTCTTGCAATACTTTTTTTCGGTACTAATAACATATTTTTCTTCCTTATCGTGACCTGAAATGGCCCAGATTAGATTGCAATCAAAACGGAAGCTAAACTTACACAAACTTAGATGCTGAGGGTCTTAACTAACAGACAACATTTCATTTAAGATTGTGTCTCAGGGCTGGTGCCTTTTTAGTTTTTATGGCCCATGGAAGAATAATGCTAATACGTGGGCATTGCCATAATTATACAGTATGAACAGTGTGTTTTCCACAAAAAATGCGCTTCTTGGAAAAGGCGTATCTGAATGACACGTATACCCCCTGGCAGGGGCGGCGATTTCTTTTCATGATCGGAGGGGGGGGGGGCGAAATGCGATTGATGAGCGAGCACTGGCGTGACGAGCAAAAAACGTTTTTTTTTTTTTGGGGGGGGGGGGGGGGACAGAAAAAAAATCCGCATCACAACCACTCTTACATGTTACGCAGGCCCTGGGGACGTTTTTCAAAGTGGGGGGGGGGGGCTAAAGTATTTACGATCAAGTAGATCAAAGCAAAGTGGAGCGTAAATTGGCATGGGGTTCAGGGACAAAGCTCCGGGGGTGTCAAGGGGCGGAGCCTCATGAAGCTCAGTGGTTTTAGGCATTTAATTACGTTCAGATGAGCATATTTTGTTACCTTATTTGTGACACTGGCATGCAAGTTACCTATTGGAGTGGTGTGCAGGGGGTGGAGCCCCCAGAAGCTCAGGGGTTTTAGGCATTAGACTACGGTCAGATGAGCAACCAGGGGTCCGCCTTAAGGCCCTTGGTGGGGTCAAGGTGGCACAGCTTCCGGAAGTTCAGAAAAATTTCAACAACATTTTTAAATCACTGGTATCGAATTAGAAATAAACCACGTTTGACTTTCATTTGGGGGAAACTGCCCCAAAAGCTACCCCAATCAGTACGCAAGTGCGAGGGAGCATAGTGAATGAGAGGGATGAGGGTGACGGAAGTGACTACCCCCCTCACAGGTTTTTGAAGTTTCTTGTATTAAAAAATTACATTAGCAAAACTAAAGTATAAAAACAAGCAATATGCTTTTTTCACACTTCAAGTTTCTCGGTATTTACTTGTACATTTTGAAGGATACTATGCGAGGGAGCGAAGTTCCCGAGTGAGAAGTTTTTTGCAATGTTATTTGCACTCTTGGGCCCTCCAGTAGTCTTTAGTCAGTATTTGCTATACATTTTTGTTTGCACTTTTTCAAATTTTGAGGAGGGGGGAGGACGATCCCACCTAAAAAAAATTGAGGGGGGACGTGTCCCCCCCGTCCCCCCGGGATCGCCTCCCCTGCACCCTGGACATCAACCCCCGGATAACCACCCCAGTCAACTACCCCCTAGGACAACTACCCCCTGGGACAACTACCCCCAAGGGCAACCACCCTGTAGGACGACTACCCCCTTAGACGAATACCCCCGGACATCCACCCCAGACAACTACCCGCTAGGACAGATGCACCCGGACAACTACCACCCGGACAACTATCCCCGGACAACTTTCATGCTTGCGTCACGAAGATGTTACCATCAGCATAAAGCATAGATATTTTTCTTTACAATGGTATACAAATTATTATATTTTACGCTGTACCAGAGTCAGAAACCAAGAAAAATCACGCGAATGTTCATGAATAATTATTAGAAGTAGTCGACTTTGCCGATGTGATAATAGAGCGTTCTGATTGGTATAATACGTCAATATGTCACATATGTTTTGCTTTGGGTTTATAAACATTTTGAAGTCAACACTATGGTAAGGATACCTTTTAAACTCTCTCTTCTGTTTTGTAAAAACGTTTTTTCCTATATCATTTTTTTTTCTCGTATATTTTCATGACACATGGTTCAAGAGTTGTCAGATATTCGACACTAGGCAGACAACACCAACTTCTATACAAATATCTTTCTCTGTTTATTCTTCCGACCAATCATTTCATTTCTGACAGATTTTAGAGGTTATTTATACTGAAAAATTGAATTGTACAATTCGCTTTAAGACTACCTTTTAGCTCATATTTGTATGAATGATTAAATTCTTCAAATTCTACTTTAAAAAAGGCCTACAATTCGAAGGTGGACCACTTTTAAACGTGTTTTTGGCCAAAATGCTTATAGCTACCAGCAACTTGTCGTAGGGTTGGAAGGCTTAGATTGGAATTCTATGTAATTTCACTTTCCAACCATATAAGACTCTTTTTGATTGATCAATGTTACCCTCCGCGTCTCCAAGATGTAAGACCATCACAACTTCACCGAGCGAAAGTTTTTGGTGAGATGATTCAGTTTGAGAACTCTGTCGCCTATACAGTAGTCTCTGTCACGGTCCACGCACTTATTAAATACAATGTACAGTGGCGGAACGATACCGGCTGAACAGCGATACGGGATATGTCACTATGAACATGACGGACAAAGAAAGAGGACAACATATACAGTTCCTCAGGTAGATAAAGGAACTCTCCTTTACTGCTATTATTTAAAAGTGAGTAAACAGGTGAATATGCATGTGACACCTGTTCTACACATTTTACATAATAGCAATGAAGGGATGTTCCTTTGTCTACCTGAGGAACTGTATATTTTGTCCTCTTTCTTTGTCTGTCATGTTCATAGTGTGTAATCTATTGTGTGCACAGAGCATGACTGATGCATTTTCTTCAATTCCAATAGGGTTCATTTAGCTCCAAACGTTTTGATAAGTATGTTCCACCGCCTTAATCACAGAAAATAATATCGAGGGTACATATTAGTGATTTTATTTTTAAATTTGTATCCTAACTTTTCAACTACAAATCATGTAGGAATCTGTTGCTGAGATCACTCGTTCTTTCTCAACTCTTGAGCTCATCGCGAAGAATCCATCAATGATGTCCAAGATTCAACTTCCTGACTCTGACTTCGAGCTGAGAGAACCTGAAAAGACACGACGTCGAAGGCAAGTCGACTCGCCATCGACTCTCCCAACATCGGTCCCACCATCTGGTGCCGAGCAGCCAAGCCTGGGACAGAACCCATTCGGACCATACTCATGGCCTATGTATTCTGGTATGATGACCAGGTCACAGTTTCTTAAAATTTATTAGCAATAACAATTGCTAAATTTGTCTGACAAATTTCAGTATAGCTTAAAATATTTTTTTGTAACTAGTTATTGATAACAAGTCTTTTGAAAGAGAGACCAGAAGTTTCTTGATTTCTCTATTGCCCATCGCACACGAAGGCTCACCTATGAACAAAATTAGTTCGTGCGCCTGGAAATCAAGCGTTTCTGTTGCATTTACCTTTTGAGTGATGCTACTCTCACCAGGCAAGTAAATAGGAAGTCCACTCCGCAAGTCGCTTGCGTATATAGTCCTATATACAATTATTCATCATCCAATAATGTACCGTCTGCAATGGGCATTGGACGCCTTGCAGGCGTTGAGGCGCCTGAAAACCAGCATGTAACAATCAAGAAATTCAGATTTCCAAAATCAGATCGGAAACCACTGCAATAGACAGGGCAGTACTAGTAGACTGTACGTCATGAAAGTAGAAACATCATTGAAGCTAACAAATGCGTTAGCTAGAAGAAAAGAGAAAAATAAGAGAGCCCTAATGCCAAAACTAACTTCTAGAGCCGTAAGTAATATTGGTTGGCCACGTTAGTCCATTTAAAGTCCGAACATAGAAGATATCAATATTCGAGACTAAAAGATTTATGATTCTACCAGAAAAAAAATAATAAGAAAAGATCAATGGAACGTACGACATAGGCCATGACCATCCAGATTGAGAATAACCTTCAGACAGAGCTATTATGCTTGAAATATAATGTTAGCAGGCAGGAATGTTTAAGCCTCGCAGATCAATAAACTTGATATGAAAAAAAATATGTTGTTCTTATTTAGGTCAATGTTTCTTGTGTCCTGCTGGTGTTCCTGGAGAAAAGGGTTGTGAAGGCCCACAAGGGGTTGCCGGTAGGGACGGGAGAGACGGACGGGATGCACCGACAGGTCCACAAGGTAGGCCTATAACAACATCTATCTGACTCGATATAGCACGACATACAGAGGTTGTAGAAGATTCATAATTGTGACATTGTAATCATTGAAGCCGGAGAATGCATGTCTAGCGAAATAAAAATTCAAGTTAACACTTCGGATATTATAACTCCTGTGTTGTCTTTGGCAATTTACACAATACGTGATACTAAAGGCCTATATTAAAGGTACTATGTCCCATTTGCAGGCCAAAAAAATGAAAAAGTGAAATTCCAACTGCATTTGAAAGATAATACTAATTTAAAACTTCCCTAAATGATGTGGGGCTTAAAAATGTCTTCAAGTGGGAAAATAACAACTATTAATTGTCAAATCGACTTTAGGGCTATAGAGCCCAAAAGTAATAGTCTTGATTTTTAAGACAATTGTACCGAATGGTCATACGTTTTATGCTGCCAAAAGATTCAATCGGTTTAATCTTGGCCATAACAAGAAGTGGGTTATTGATGTAGACAAATGCTCATGTACCCTTTACAGCTCATTTTATGTATGTTATTACCAAAGAAGGAAAAAAAGCCAGTCAATCACTCAATAGTGTCTGACAGTGAAGTCTAGCAAGTAAACAGGTTTCCTTGCATAATTTGAATATGAGGACACTGCTAACGTTTAAATTCCACAGATAGGACATACATGACATATTCATAATTCCTGCAAAGTTCTACAGCATTTGAGGTTGGCTGCAAAAGGGACATAGTACCTTTAACAAAGACAATATGGAGACGGATAGTTGTGGGTCACTCGAGGTTGCTTTGTTTTCATATGCTTATGTAATAACGGCCGCTGCTTAAAAACAGCCTACGTGCAGTTAGTCATTGATATGGTGAGAACATAAGCCGGACAAATTACACAAAAATATGTTTGTAACTTTTTAGGCTTCATTGCATTTACCACGTTTTATAATATCCGTTATCAAATAATTTCTGTCTGTGGACTCCGATGTATAAAATTCCTAAATTGTTAACATTTTAGCTGAGGAAACACCCATGTCACACAACGGCCAAACAAATTGAACTGAATCCACTTTCTATAAACTCGATTCAATTTACGACTAATGATGACATTCCTTATACCACAAATATAGATGCCAAACATCTGGAATACAGTTAAATTTTGTCTAAATGGATTCCGATAAATGTTTCACATTTTAGCTCAAGAAACACCCACTCCACCCAGCGACGGTGTCATCTATACTCGCTGGGGTAACGATGTATGTCCTGAAGATGCAGAACTCATCTATTCAGGTTGGTATAAATGAGTAATATTAAAAAAGGGGGAAAATCTGAACATGATTTTGACATGATTGCAAGGACATTCTTTAAATCGACCACTGACAGTCAAGTTAAATAGCCTTGTCCGTCCAGGGGTAGATCTACGGGGGAGGGAGGGGGGGGGGGGGGTGTTAAGGGGTTTACACCCCCATTGGGCTGCCAAGTGAAAATGTGATGTACATAGAAAAACGCCCCCCCCCCCCAAATCAAAACAGCCCCCCCCCCTGCAAAAAAAAAAAAAAAAAAAATCACTTCGCGACTCGTGGACGATACTCTACATCGAACCCCCTCTGGCAAAAAGCTAGACCCGCCCCTGCCGTCTATCATATTGAAACGTGCGAACACTTAAACTTTTTTCAAATATGATGAGACACATAAGAGGGTATGAAATATCCTCGAGTTCATTTTTCGAAAGGCTTTGCAATCTTGTTTAATTGTTTAATTGTTTATGTAACCTATAATCAATCTTATTTTGTGCAACAAATAAATTCTTCAGCGCGACAAATGAAACACATGCCTTCAATATCCTCACTGGCGGAAATTAAAGTGCACAAGAATGGGTGGGGCTTAAGTGAATGCACAACAAACGCAAAAATCTTTGACTTATTGTTATGTCTGACCCTTCTTTATACAGTATATGCAAGGTGTAAACAAAGAGACCATTATATAGCATTCACTGAATGTTAAGGTAGTAATAATAGCCACAAATATTGCGCATATATCAATCCTGAGGGGTGCTCGATGCGCCTACAAGTACAAGTACTATAACTTAATACCCTGTCTGTAGTTTATCTGGCCTAACAAAAACACTCAAAGCGTTTCATGGATTAATTCTTACCAGAATCACATTTACTACTTCTGGGTGGAGACTGGCAAATGAAGATATATGTCTTACCAACGCAAATAAAGTGCGGGACCCGAACCGCGAACCATGTGATCAACATTCCGCTTACATACCCCTAGACCACGACACCCCTGTGCAAATTGTTTGGCAAATGAGCTTTATAATGCCATTACCAACCATGAGGATAAGCCCAAGTGCACAATTCAGATGCCATCATGGGCTGTAGAGGCCGGTTGCGTAAATTATGTCACGAGGCAGTAGATCACATTGTTTGCGGTTTGAGCCCCAGCCCCGTACCAATGCCCTTTACCAAGATATTAATCCACATTTGCCACTCTCAACCTAGGTTAAAATAGGTACCTGGTTTGAAATTAGTCATTGAACGTTCTCTGGGGTTGCCTACAGTAGTTGTCAGCTTGTCAGTGGTCCTACATCATGTTTAATTTTGATTCTGATGAATTTGAACTTTGTGGGATACCAATTTTGTGTTACATTACTTTGTGATTGATTCAGGATCTATTGGAGGTGCACGCTACACTCATACTGGTAGCGGCTCTAATCATCTCTGCATGCCGGACGAGCCTATCTATGACGAAGTAACAGCTTCCTCAGTCGATGATGGCCGAGCCCTACTATACTCCTCTGAATACGAAGTCAGTAATGGCCCTTCACGCATCCGACCGATGCATAACCATTCTCCGACCTGTGCAGTCTGCAGGGCGCCCTCTGGCCGCACCAGTAAACTTATGATTCCTGCCCGCAACGTATGTCCTTCTCAAGAGTGGCGTTTAGAGTACGCAGGTTATCTTATGGCAGATTACCACGGATACAAGAAATCGGAATTTATTTGTGTGGACCGCGAGATGGTTCCTAAAGCGGGGACGGGCGAGGAGAATCAGAATGGTGCGCTGTTGTACATGACAGAAGTCCGGTGTCTGGCGGGAGGGGGCTTGGATTGTGGATCCTACATCGATGGTTACGAACTTACTTGCGCTGTCTGTACTATCTGAAGTCCTACTTATACATTCCACTTCATTCTGTGTAGTTTGACACAGTTGTCAGTTCTTGTCATGCTTTTAGAACACCTTAGTTTCATACACACAACAGTGATAAAATGTACACCTTAGTTTCACACACACACAAGTGATAAAGTGTAAGCCTTAGTTTCATACACACGACAGACTGTGATAAAATGTACATTTTTGTTTCATACACATACCAGTAATAAAGTGCATTAAACCTTTGTTTCATACACACAGTAGTGATAAAATGTCCACCTTAGTTTCAGACACATACCAATGATAAAGTGTAGTAAACCTTCATTTTTACACACAACAGTGATTAAGTGTCTGATCAAATTAGGCCTGGTTTGTCGATGGTTTTCTAAATGTTGTAATGCATTGAATTTCATGGTAGATTTTCTTTTCATTCAGGAAAGAATAGTTCCTTTTGCTAACCTGAATTTTCTGAAACAAGTTAGCTTTCATTTTTACAGCAGTATGATACGAATCCCATTGATCGTTCAATGTATATGTCAATATATTCAATTCAATTCAATAATGGTTTATTAGGTAATTTCAAAATACATGCATCATAATTGTCATTTTACATGAAAAGCAGCAGAAGCTGGATTATTCATGTTTACATGCTGACATAATAATAAAGTGACAGGTTGCATTTTTAAATATTTACACGTTAAAAAGATTGTTAAAAATACATTCAAAATAACATTACACGTTAAGAATAACAAAAGAAAGATTTATATTCTCGTTTAAAATGAATACATTGGATTTTAAGACTAAACACGACTGAGGTGAAGACTAGTACTGTGTTTGAAAATTAACATGTAGTTAAAAAAGCATTTAAAAATGGTTAATTAGATTGATCAAATATGGTAAAGGGCTATTTTTGAAGCGATTGGTTTTGCATTTGAAATTATGATATGTAGGAGTCTGACGTAATGACATTCTAATTTTTTTTTTTGAAGGTAGCCAGTTCTGGCATGCTGGGTGAGTTGTTAAAGATTTTGCAAATTTTATACACAGTACTAGTCTTCTTTCCTCAAGTGTACTTAAATTGCATACTTGACATGCATGTGAGTATGACATAAAATTAGAGCCTAAAATAATTTTGCAAACCCTCCGTTGTATTCGTTCAAGACTGTTTTTCTGTTCAGATGTAAGACCACTATGAAACACAGGGGCGCAATATTCTAATACTGGTCGTATATAACCTGTGTAGATTAATACTAAATCATTTAAAGGTAAATTAAATTTCTTGAGTTTCCTCAACATATACATTTTTCTATTACATCTTTTCATTAGCTCATCTATATACAAATTCCACTTTAGATCAGACTGGATGATCACTCCAAGAATCTTAGCACTATGCCTATTACACAACTCGGTGTTGCTAATAAAAAGAATTTCTGGATCTGGTGGATTTTTCATGAAACTAACTTGGAGGGTAAAACACTTTAAAGGATTTAGTGACATATTATTCACAATAGACCAAGATTGCACAGAATTAAGTACTGATTGTAATTGTGAGACATCTGTAGATTTCCGACATTGTACTAACGAGAGGTCATCGACATATTTAAAATATGGTATAGAAAGTTGCTCACATAAATCGTTAACCATAATTAAAAAGAGAATTGGCCCACGACGTGTACCTTGGGGAACACCTGCATGATTGAATTCAACATTTGATAAAACACCGTTATATTTTGTATTTTGTTTACGAAATTCTAAAAAACTGGCAATCCAATCTATTATCCAAGGTCTTATATCCATATGAATCATTTTTCTAATAAGAATATAGTGATCTATGCGATCAAAAGCTTTACTAAAATCTGTACAAATAACAGTTGACACAGATTTACTGTTTTCTGCATTTTTATATAGACTATGTAAAAGACCAATAATATAATGTGTAGTAGACAGGCCAGGTCTATTGCCAAATTGGTGAGTGTCAATATGTTTATCAATATCTTCTAATAACCATTTTGCTATAAAGGATTCTGCTACTTTGGAAAAATATGAAGTCAATGCAATTGGGCGTAGATTATTAATATGAGGAGGTTGAGATTTTGGAATCGGACATATTTCTGCAGTTTTCCATTGGGTCGGAACTTTTCCTTGTCTAAAAGATTGGTTTAGAATCTTCGTAAATGGTACACTCAATTCACATGCAAATTCCCGTATAATGCGTACCGGTATATCATTACTAACGGATGCTTTTTGCAATTGTATTTTACGTAATTTACAATACACTTCCCAGTTACTGATTTCTGGGCTATTGCACTTTGAAGGTAAAAAACATGGTAAAGTCCTCCTATCTAAGGGAGGAAGATCAGAGGCAATAGACACAAACAAATTATTAATTGCGTTAGCAGCTTCTTTATAACAATGAGGTTTTTGTGATTCAATACCAGGAATAGTAATTGGAACGGGGTCACATTTACCATTTGTAAGTATTTTAATATGTTTGTACCAAGCAGACGGATTATTCAACTTTTCTCTTTTTATACGAGAATTGTAATAATTCTTTTTAGCAACAGATATAGCTTCAGCAACTTTATTGCGTAAATGTTTCCAAAGATAATTATTTCCTTTCTTAAAAGCGTTTTGTCTATCACGGATAAGTGATTTTAAATGTGGAGTTACCCATGGTTTATCAGTATTGCATAATTTTATTTCACATGTAGGCAAGTATAAATCAAGGTGAGTTTGAAGAGTATCGATTAACCTGGTACACATTAACGTTAAATCAGAGTTTTGAAAAACTTCCTCCCATGTATGAGCAGTTAACCACTGACCAAACAAGCGTATCCCACTGTCTTTCAATGGACGTACAATCTTGGTTTTCTTTTTAGTTGTTCGTTTAACAAAATTATCAGGAGACCAAATGATACAGTTGTGGTCACATTTGCCGATTGGTGGAAGAGTAAAAATATTCGTATAAAATTCAGAAAAATTTGTGTAAATCTTGTCAAGTATGTTACAATCCCTCGTGGGTTTATCCACTACTTGTTTAAACCTATCATCTCTTACGATTTCTCGAAAGTTAAAATCATTGAAATCACCTAAAATTGATATCCCTGCATCGGGGTGCTTAACATATAAAGAATCTACAGTCATGAGTATATGATCAACATAATCAGAACCATTTGGATTTTTCGGCGGAAAATAAAGAACACACAGTATGATACAAGATAATTGTCTCGGTAAGTGTGGTGGTCGTAACATTACCCATATTGCTTCAATATTCTCTGGCACAATAATATCACTTAAAAGATAAGGTTCTAGTCCATGTTTGGCAAGTAAAGCTACTCCACCTCCTTGTCGACCTTCGCGTGGCTTCGAGAAAGTGGCGAATCCATCAATGGATAGTAACTCTAAAGGTGAGTCTTTAACTTCCCAAGTCTCCGTCAGCGCTACTAAATCAACACCGTTGTCTTTCACAACAATTTCAAGCTCATCCAATTTATTGTTAATCGATCTTGGATTTGTAAGTAGAATCTTGGGTAAATTAAAACCGTGACTTTCGCACCTATCTATAGGAATCTGACGAAGATTTAAAAGATTGGTTCGTAATTTATTGTTATTAAACCGATTTCTTCTATGTTGAATTATAACTGGTATCGAACGTGTTGATTCATCGTCTGCTACATGTACGTGTGTAGGCTTAGAAAATAGAAGTAAATCCTGTCTCTCTAGTCTCCTTCGTCCAGCTCGTTTGCCACGATGGTGAATTGGTTTCCGTTGGATTCCCAAGCTCTTGATGGTATTCCATACTGTAGGTAGCAGTTGGGTTGTTTTTGGTGTGTTTCTTAAGGCATATAGTTGAGATAGAGGGTATTTACGGATGACTTTAGTGCATGCTGTAGATAGAGAAGGGCCTGGGTTAGGGTGTATGTCTCCACATAATAGTAGCTCAAGTTGAAATGTTGAATTGCAGTTACTATAATACGAGATGCGTGCTGATAAGTACTTGTGGTGAAAAAGTTTTGGAGATAAAACACCCGAAAATAAGTTGAGTTGTAGAATACAAACAGGTAAGTTACTATATTCAGTTCTCAGAGTGCATAGTGTACATACAAATAGAATGCTCACCGATAGCTTCATGCTGCATTGACACCGGTCTATTCATAGCAAACCAGTCAATTGTGCACTCCATTGTATATATGCTTGAGTGAATATGCTGCAATGTCAGGCGAGCTAGTACTCCACACGTAAAAATGTATCCACACGTAAACAAAAATGGCTGCACTTAATCACTGAAGACGGCAAAGTCAGATTACTCTCATCACATCAAATAGAGAATACAAAATCACTGCACGAAATGTCGAAAAGTGTCCATGTGCTATAATCCTTCGACTGTTCAAGTCTTTATCTAAAATAGACACTGATAAATTGCATTAATAACGCAAAAAGCTAGGAGCTCATGTAGGAAAATGTCAGCTGCCTCCGGGCGCTAGTCATATCCAAAGAATTTACTTTAATTGAACTGAATTAAACAGACATTGTCTTTATAATTTCAAATGTGTGGAGGTGTACCTAGTGTTGCCCATAATGTTTTAAGGGAACTTGCTTGCTTTAGATCAATCTTATCTGCCTATGGAGATTTTATAAAATAAAATGTTTCTTATTCAATTCATTTCATGTCTTTCCATTTACGCGTGGTCATGCTCAAATAAATACGAAGGAGACATCTTTAAATCCTGACTGCCTGTTTATTATTCTACAGAGTTACAACTAGGTAATGATCTAGATGGTTAATTTAACAGAGGTCACTGGCCTCGTTTAATTATAATAACTAAATTAATATAACGACAAAAGAAAACGCAACTTAAAATACAGTAATCACGAACTGAAATTATCTATGCGTAACAAAATCGCGATGAATTTCAAGAAATAGATTCAAGGACAATGTCAGTAGTCTTACCCTATTGTATTGCCTTCAGAAATCAAATTCAGATGGTGTTATTTCGTGAAATTGCAGTGTTCGCATATTTACAATGGTCATGGACAAAGGTAATGTAGGGATTTATTTTGAACTTCTGAAACTCCCCCTCATATCCATGATTCATACCTTTCATAGTAATAGGTCATCCCTCATTCACATTCACCCTTTTCATCCACCATCCTTTCATCTGTCTATCTCTCTCTCTCTCATTGGTTTCAATGTTCACCTGATGCAGTCAAGCTTATAGTATAATTTACATATACTATGAATATTCAATATATACCCTTTGTTTATGTTTGAATATTCAAGATACTTTGTGATGCTGATTTATACTTGTGTGGGACTTTATGAATATTTATTGGTTTCTTCTACTTTGCATGGAATGTATGTGGAATGCTACATAGAATGCTGTAATGCTTTGCTACATTAAAACCTGGTCAGTTAGCCAGTAGTTATAAATCCTACAACATGTCTGCTGGGCTGCCTCTGTGTTAAGAGTGCTAGGAATTAGTGTTAGAACCGCAACCCTACATTGGTGGCAGCGGTGTTTTTCTAGCCTCTTC